AACATGTTAAGAAAAAAAAAATTATTTTGTATCTGACAACAACACACGCACACAAAAAAAAAAAAAAAAAAAAAAATTCAATATTGAGGGGGCCACGTGACTCCCTTGGGCCTTCTCTCCCTCCTCACTGGCAACAAGTCTAATAAAAAATTACAAACGTCATAACTGAGATATATAATATACTCCTAAAATAAAGCATGCATTATAAAATTTCCCAACAATCATACACAAACTTCCAAATAATATATATAAATATAACAAATAATTCATATAAATTGCACAAAACATGCTCATGTTGAATTTGGACCCCTTACTGATCCTGGATTACAAGCTGTTGTTATGATTAAGTTACGGAGTGGCCAACTGTTAACATGACCTGGAGGTAAACTTTTAAGGCTCAAATATCTTTTTTTTTTTCTTTTTTTTTTAATTTTATGTAAAAGATAATGTAATTCAAAATAAATTAAAAATTGACTTTTAATTTTTAAGTCATGTTCTTAAAATGGGCCTCTGCACCCTGTCATAAGCAGCGAGATCAATTTGAAAGCCACATTGCAACATGGAGTCACATTATTATAAAAAAAATAAATAATTTTTTTTCATCATATATAAAAAGAAAAATTGTTCTAAGCTCCTTTTCCCATTTTTTATAATGAAATAGATTTACAATATTATTATTTGATATCTAAGTTCCTCACAAATAACTTTAATCTCTCTCCCACTGCTCTTCTCTCTCTCTCTCATCGATCTCCTCAAAACCCTAGATCTTTCTCTCTCCTCCCCTGCATCTATCTCTCTCTGCTCATGATCACAACCACCATGAGAATCACCATCATCATGATCATAAGCAACAGCAGCATGCTGATCAGCATCTCCATGGAAGCACAGTTAGACCTTCAAGAAGCTTCAACAATCATTCCATTGAAGTCCACTCAAGGAGAGATTCACATGTTCAAGGAAATCTTCACAACCATGCTCATAGTTCAGATTTTGAAGTCGATCCATCTTCTTCAAAAGATAGCACTTCTCAACAGAAAGAACTACCATCTCACAAAGAAGAAGTGCAAAAACACCACCACCACCACATTGACCACAACATGGAAGGCATCTTCTTGTATGTTTTGGCAGATACCTTGGGAAGTGTTGGCGTTGTTATTTCAACCCTCTCACTCTGCCTCTCTCTCATACATGTGCTAGTTCATCCATACTCTGTAAAAATGAATTCAGAGAAATTTGTTAGAATAAATTTATGTGATGATTGGTTTTTTGAAGATGTATTCGGGAATTTCTCTGGAAGATCCATAGAAAATTGATTAAAATAAATCCAGAGAAATTTAAATTTTCTCTGGTTTATAAATGAACTAGATAAATTTGAATTTGAACTCAGAGAAAATTGGTCAAAATGAACCCAGAGAAATTTGAATTTTCTCTGGGTTGAACTCAGAGAAATTCTTTGGAAGTCCAGAATTTCTTTGGGAAGAATTTCTCTGAATTGAAATTTCTCTAGATCAATGTTAAGGGATCTTAGACATTATGAACATATTGAATGTCCTTTATGCTATAAAATCTTAATATCAGGAACCCTAAAAAAAAAAACCATTCAAATACCATAAAAGTAATCTCTATTAGAATAATAATAAAAAATTTGTTGTACAAAATAAAAAGATAACGTAAGATGATAGAATAATTATATATATATCTTTTATACTGAGACTGAGAGACTATTTTATTTATAAAATCATATATATATATATATATATTTTAAAAATATTATGGTAAATAAAAATTTTCACAAAAACAGAAAGACCATGACCCCTCATAATTTTCTCCTAATTCCATCCTTGATTATATATAAATTTGAGCTCATTTCATGTTTGTTTCATTAAAATCTTTGAAATTAATTTATTTTGTACACAAGTTAAATTGGAATATTACTACTTTTTTTTAGATAAGTTCATATACATTATAAAAGTTAAATTAGAATATTAATTTTTTAGATAAGTTCATATACATTATAAAATGATATTGGGAAAACAAACTATTTAAGCTCAACTTATTATCGTCTTACTGATAAAAATAAATAAATATGATATCGGCTCAATTAAAGTTATTTATGATCTGCTCTAAAAATAAATAAACCAAACTTAAATATATTTTGAAATGAATAATGTTATATATAAATTTTAAGGCACAAATATCTTATTTTTTTAATTTTTTTTTTATTTTATGTAAAAGATAATGTAATTCAAAATAAATTAAAAATTGACTTTTAATTTTTAAGTCATGTTCTTAAAATGGGCCTTTGCACCCTGTCATAAGCAGCGAGATCAATTTGAAAGCCACATTGCTACATGGAGTCACATTATTATAAAAAAATAAATAATTTTTTTTTCATCATATATAAAAAGAAAAATTGGTCTAAGTTCCTTTTCCCATTTTTTATAATGAAATAGATTCACAATATTATTATTTGATGTCTAAGGTCCTCACAGATAAATTTAATCTCTCTCCCACTGCTCTTCTCTCTCTCTCTCGTCGATCTCCTCAAAACCCTAGATCTTTCTCTCTCCTTCCCTGCATCTATCTCTCTCTGCTCATGATCACAACCACCATGAGAATCACCATCATCATGATCATAAGCAACAGCATGCTGATCAGCATCTCCATGGAAGCGCAGTTAGATCTTCAAGATTCAACAATCATTCCGTTGAAGTCCACTCAGGGAGAGATTCACATGTTCAAGGAAATCTTCACAACCATGCTCACAGTTCAGATTTTGAAGTCGATCCATCTTCTTCAAAAGATAGCACTTCTCAACAGAAAGAACTACCATCTCACAAAGAACAAGTGCAAAAACACCACCACCACCACAACATGGAAGGCATCTTCTTGTATATTTTGGCAGATAGCTTGGGAAGTGTTGGCGTTGTTATTCAACCCTCTCACTCTGCCTCTCTCTCATACACGTGCTAGTCCATCCATACTCTGTAAAAATGAATTCAGAGAAATTTGTTGGAATAAATTTATGTGATTATTGGTTTTTAAAAGATGTATTCGGGAATTTCTCTGGAAGAATCATAGAAAATTGGTTAAAATAAACCCAGAGAAATTTGAATTTTCTCTGATTTATAAATGAACTAGATAAATTTGAATTTGAATTTGTACCCAAAGAAAATTGATCAAAATGAACCCAGAGAAATTCTTTGGAAGTCCAGAATAATTTCTCTGAATTAAAATTTCTCTAGATCAATGTTGAGGGACCTTAGACATTATGAACATATTGAATGTCCTTTATGCTATAAAATCTTAATATCAGAGATCCTTAAAAAAAACTCCTTATATAAAAACACACGCGCGCGCGCGCACACACACACACACATATATATATATATATGATATATAAACATAAAAAAAAAATTCAAATACCATAAAAGTAATCCCTATTAGAATAATAATAGTAAAAAATTTGTTGTACAAAATAAAAAGATAACGTAAGATGATAGAATAATTATATATATATCTTTTATACTGAGAGAGAGAGACTATTTTATTTATAAAATCATATATATATATATATATATGTTTTAAAAATATTATGGTAAATAAAAATTTTCACAAAAACAGAAAGACCATGACCCCTCATAATTTTCTCCTAATTCCATCCTTGATTATATATAAATTTGAGCTCATTTCATGTTTGTTTCATTAAAATCTTTGAAATTAATTTATTTTGTACACAAGTTAAATTGGAATATTACTACTTTTTTTTAGATAAGTTCATATACATTATAAAAGTTAAATTAGAATATTAATTTTTTAGATAAGTTCATATACATTATAAAATGATATTGGGAAAACAAACTATTTAAGCTCAACTTATTATCGTCTTACTGATAAAAATAAATAAATATGATATCGGCTCAATTAAAGTTATTTATGATCTGCTCTAAAAATAAATAAACCAAACTTAAATATATTTTGAAATGAATAATGTTATATATAAATGAATTTCTCATTCGATTTTCTTATCATTAGATAAGAAAGTAGTAAGGTCAGTAAGGTCCATGCCTTCGTGGCTAGCAAGACATGTACTTTTGTGTCTAATGATACCAAAAAAAAAAAATAATAAAAAAAAAAAATAAAAAATAAAAAAATAAAAAAATTTAAGAAATCTTTTTATGCACACTATTCTCTTTATTTTGCCTCCGTTTGGCAAGGGCTTTTTCAGGCTTTTTTGGCTATTTTAGCCACAAAAAACAAAATAGGCTATTTTAGCCATAACAAACAAAACATCACATCCAACCTATAATCATTACATTCTTCTCTCACAAAAAAAGTCAAAAAAGCCAAAAAGCCAAAAAGCCCTTCCCAAACCAAGCTTTTTAGCCCAGGCTAAAATAGCCAAAAAAGCCAAAAAACCAAAAAGCCAACCCACTTCCCAAACGGAAATTTGTTAAATTTCAAACCAAGTTGATAAAACAACCCACATTAGACTACCTAGACTTGGCTCATTTATAGTGTGAGGATGCCAAATGGGCAAAGAAATAAATTATTTAAGCTTGACTTAAAAATTTAATGAGTTTTAAAATATGTTTAAACTCGTTTACTTTTTTGAGCATATCTCAAATGAGCTTTAATGAAATTGATCACAAGCCAAACTTGAGTAGCTTGATTTTTATTAATATATACAATCAAGTCGAGATGAGTAGGAGGTTATTTAAACTTGATTTGAAAACTTAATAAATATTAAAATACATTCAAATTTTGCTCATTTATATGACAAATTAATCTCAAACGAATTCTTAACGAGCTGAACGCAAGTAACTTAGACAAAGCATAATTAAGGCTGCCAATGGAAACAACTGGCAAGTAACCATATCACCTCTCAAATTATGAAGTTCGAGTCTAGAAACTTTTACTGGATAATAGATGATAGAGTTTTTACTATTTCCACTTTCACACCCAATAATGATCTATACATTTTCTAACATTTTCAAGTGGGAAACACACAGAAGCATCAAACCCTTTCTTGGTTTTACAATAGCAGATAACAAAACGAAAATAAAACAAAATGGTTACTTACTCCATCGTAGTATTGAGCAACAAGAGAAACTTGTAAACTACAAATATTTTTTTAAATCAGTTTTACAAGGTATAGAACATGCAAAAAAATCAAACACTAGCAACACAAACAGAGTTTACATAAGAATCAGAGTTTTGACAATTCTACGTACCACAAATGGGATTGTACATGTTTGATTGATGCAGCAGGGAAACCTTCGCTATGAGACTCCGTAAATTAGTGATTTCACCAATTGCTCGTGTTGTACAAAACGATGCTATACAAGGACCTGAGTTTGATGAAGAATGGTTGCCTCAGACTGAAACTTTGGTTGTGTACGATCTTACATCCTACTTTGTCCAACAAGAACAAGGGATTCCATGCCTTTGAAACCATTCGGGCATGCGGAACCTCTCGTATAGAACAGGTCTGACATCCTTTTGCTCAGTGAGGTGTCTGAGGAGAGGAAGAAGGACGTCCAGAAGCTGATTGAACCATAAGACATATTAGATTCATTCAGAGTAGTGACAAACAAATGACCAATCACCCATATAAATGGATATAATTCTTAGAACCTGTTCATCGTGTGGTTGTCCTGCAGAAAATGGGATACATGGAATGCCATTCACTGGTTGCAATAAGAAGCTGAATGGGTTGTTATCGACAATAACTGTTCTGCAGAGATCCTTTGATAGGCAACGTAGATCTTTCACATGTTCACGGTATTCACTGTGATTTACAGAGCATTTAAGTTATTAGCAAATGCACATTCAGGAAGTCAATTCCTTCAATAATATACTCATTGGTGGAAAAATCATTTCAACAGAAATAAAAGAACTCAAACCACCCATGTTAAATTGAGTGGCCGATGTGGGTAAGTGTCTAAGTGTCCCACTTCATCAACCCAAGTTGTCCAAAGGAACTTGGACTCAAACTAAATATTCAAGGTTCTCAGTATTATCTATTTATTTCCTAAAGTAAACTGATGCTTCTGTATAGTGTAGTAGAGCATCAAGCATGGACACTTCACTGGCCAATTATGAACCAACCACATAAAAAATATAACATAACAAGGAATTTTATTTACAATCATGTAGCAAACTTGAAATGCAAGTATGCTTGTGGGTGAGTGATGTTCAATTAGACACGCAAGGATACTTTATCCAGGTGTGGTGTATCTGGCACGGGTAATTACATGCATTTAGAAGAGTCCTTGGTAACATGGCATACTACCACCATCCATTCAGAAAAACTAATTTGTAGGAAAGACAAAAATCATATCAGAAAACCTTTTTAGCTGAAAATGTGATATCCACAAATGTAACAACAAAGTTGAAGTTTTATATTAACAAAATATTGTCATTGCAAAAGTAATCATCACTAAATGGTAATGTAGATTGATCATCTGTTCATGAGCTTTTTCACATGAGATTTTATAACACGTAATAGTACAAGTTCTTCACAGGCAGCCATCATAAAATACGTGTCTTACAAAATGCACTGTCGGTCTACCTGAAAATAGTTTTTTCTCTTTCTCACGTATTAGACGTGCCCATGCTCACTAAGCAACATTAATGTGCAAAATTATTGAGGTCAACTTATATTTAAAGTCACCATTCAGTATGACAGATAGAGATGGTGAAATTCATTTTAGTTATAAAACTTTTATCGTACCATTTCATATGTCCTCCACATTTCTAACTATAGGAAGATGAGGCAGATCATTATACAACACTGAAATCCATTAAGAAGGGATCATGAAAATAACATAGGAGTAACTCATTGTCGACTGCTGCAAATTATCCATTGAAGCTGTAGTTTGGGATTTGGACTTGTGCAAAAAAGAACGTTATGCACAATGGAGCTGGTACGAGATCCCATCGAAACTGAATTAGCCCATTATGTTTTACTTATGATTTGCATGGGCCCATAATATTAGCCACAGGATTTACAAGAACATCACCATTATCATCAAAACTTAAAATGAATGGGAGTGTTTATTAAGAAGCTAAAACATCTTTGTAGTTAGGGAGAAATATATATATATATATATATAAATTAAAAATTAGAAGGGAAAGTCCTTCAAGTGTATTAGATCACCAGACATTCACTAACTAGTAGGAAAACATAATCATCCCATTTTCAGAGAGCTACTTATTAATTTTGTTTCTCAGATAGATGTGTAGAAGATAGCTGGTAGCAAAATTGACCTCCAAACTTCCAAATTACTAATACTCGTAATTCCACTGCTAAATTAAGGCACCTATTAGGTGACTGACAAGGCAACCTAAAAGAAAACAAAAAGGAAATGCGAAGAAAATATAGACACAGATCGGTGTAAATTTTGGATAAGATGCCACACATCATAGATGCAAGAACAGATGTACTTTTATTACAGGCTTTGGTTAGATTCAAAGTAAATCAAAATAGATGGGGGCAAAAATATGATAAAGCTGGAAAGAGAATGTAGTAGAAGAGCAACTGTACTTACGTGCTAATTGTTGAAGTCCGGTACAGTCTAAGAGTAAAACGATTTTCGACATCTATTCTGTCAACAAGGGGTCTAGCATAACCTGAGGACATGCAAACAAAGCAACTGCTTTTCAAGAAAATGTAAAGAAGGATTGAGGGGTTGTTCAGAAAGAAAGGGGAGATATCAGTAAAGGAGAAACCTTCAAGCCCTGCAGTAAACAACACAAGATCTGCAAATTCGCTGAGTTGTTTTAAAAATTCTTGTAGTCCTGGACGTTCAAACACTGTAACATAGTTGACTTTGGGTTTGCCTTCACATTCCTTCAAACCCAACATTGTGAATGTTAAGATGGATTCATGAATAAAATGTCTAGATAACCTATAGGATATGAAAGCTGAAATATGTAAGACACCTTGTCTGAAGATATGCATTCCAATTCAAACCATTTTAACCCAGCTTCTATAGCTTGATTACGAACAATAGCCGGCAAACTAAATGTCTCATAGGCACAAACTAGAGTCTCGTCCAAGTCAAGAACCACCTGCATACAGAGTCGCATGAGTCAGACTAGAAATCTATAAAGCAACAGGAACGTGGTAGTAGTACTTGTAGTAGAAGACATTGCCAAATTTGTACAGATAGACACATTTGAGAGCAAACGCAAACATTTGAGAGCAAGAGCTAATATTTCATTTGTCCTTGCATGCCCTCCAATTCTCAATAACTCCAAAGCACATAATCAGACCAAAAACAAAAACAAAAACAAAGCAAAAAAATCAAACTAAACTGCATCCACTTTAGTTTCAGACAACGGTGGATCATGAAGGGACGCGGGAGGGGGGGTTAATATTTCATTCGTCTTTGCATGCCCTCCAATTCTCAATAACTCCAAGGCACATAATCAGACCAAAAACAAAAATAAAATCAAACTAAACTGCATCCATTTTAGTTTCAGACAACGGCGGATTATGAAGGCACCGGCAAACATTTGAGAGCAAGAGCTAATATTTCATTTGTCCTTGCATGCCCTCCAATTCTCAATAACTCCAAAGCACATAATCAGACCAAAAACAAAAATAAAAACAAAGAAAAAAAATCAAACTAAACTGCATCCACTTTAGTTTCAGACAACAGCGGATTATGAAGGGACGCGGGGAGGGGGGGAGGGGGGCATGCTCCCTCTCAATTTTGGATTTTTTTTTTTGTTTGTTGTGGCATTGTATTAAAGGAAAATAATTAACAAATAGAAAAATTATACATAAATAACATTTAGAATGATCTCTTAATGGCATTTTTAAAATTATAAAAACTATGATGGTTGTTTTGATCCATGTTACATGAACTCGAGTACGGTTATCGGGTGTGGATATGTATCTAGAGGTCGGATTCATCAAATCATAAATTTAAAGGTATGCGGACTCGGTAAAAAAATGTTATTTTTATATTTTTCATTAAGTATGTGAGATGAAATAGTATTATATGTAATTTATAATGTCAAAAAGATATTTATAATAATTATACAACAATATGTACATACAATAAAAATGTTATATACAATTATATAAGAAATATCCGTTGAAAATTATCCAACATATATCCCATAACATTGTCTGAGTGTGGTGTATGATACGGGGTATTTGATTTATTTTGAAGAAGCTGGATAATATTTTTATTTAAAAATAAAGAAATAATAACAAGCCACATTATTATGTATGAAAATTCTATAAAAAAAATCCAATCCAATGGTGATAGCACATCACTTACATATGAACATTGTTAACCCCACCATAAAAGATGTGAAATTATTAAATTGTTAGTTACATTTGACAAGTGGTATTCACTTATCATCTATTGACAATGATGATGTGGTTAGTATATTGATTTTTCTCAAATTTTATACAAAAATTTTATTGGTATATTATTATATAATCTATCATAATAAGACACACAAAACTTTTTAACATTACCGATAAAAACTAGTTACAAGTAACACATATTTCCGATTCTAATCTTTCTCATGGTTAATTGTAAAAATATATATTAAAAACTTTTGTGTTAAATATTTAAGATTTTATATTTAATATTAATTTTAAAAATTATAATATAGCCGTTGATTATGAAAAAAAAAAATTCAAATTTATCATTAATAAGTGCACCTCACTAAGTTGATGGCTTGACCACCGGTCTCAGCTCTTTAATAACTGGCAAAACAACCACAATCGTTTAAAAATTATGCAAAATACTTCTCTGAATCTCCAACTATTTTTGTTTTAACAAATTATTGACTAAAAAAAAAAAACACAAGGCTAGATGAAGGACTGGAATTCAATTGAAGCCAAACTCTTAGCCTGAGCTCTCTGTATCTAATTAAAGCTAAAAAAAATTCGCCAACCTAGAAAGCTTATTAATATACATCCCACTTTACACACTAGAAGGTCCCAATCAAAATCAAACTCCAATACAAACAGCTCTAATCAAATATTTAACTTGCGATTAAAAATCAGATTAATTCAAATAGAGAGAGAGAGAGAGAGTCAAAGGGACTATACCGTAAGCCTCTCGATCGGCCGATGATCGTCGCTGTCGTCAGTACCGACTCCTCCGCCGGTAATTCGCACCGCCGCCGAGGCCGGCGGCTCTTTCAATTCTGGCAATTCAGAGACGGGCAATGGCTTGAACGAAGGCGAATTCGAAGAGAGCAAAGAGTGGTGGTGTTGGTGGTGGTGGCCAAGACCGAGAAAGGAGAGAATTTGAGCCATGGAAGGAGTGCCTCTGACCATCTGAACGAAGATCTGGAAGAAGAAGGCTAGCCAATTCAACAGTGTTCTCCATAGCTGTGAAGTCCTCCGCGCGTACACTTCAGCTTGAGCCAACTCGGCCATGGCGGCCGAGCGACCGACTCTACGTTACACCTGAGGTGCGCACGTCGTTAACCTGTCCTCCCCCCCCTCTCTCTCTGTATCAATCTCTACATGTCTGTATATGTGTAATTGTTTGTTGTTTTATGTGAATGTGTTGGGGAGGGAGATGAAGTCAAGGCGATGATACCTCGAAGAAGTGTAGAGAGAGAGAGAGAAAGAAGAGAGGGGAGAGAGAGAGAGAGAGAGGGGAGAGTGCAGAGACGCGTTAGGGGAGGCGAGTGAGGGGAGGGTAGGGTTTTGGGGAAGTCTGGAGTGGTGGTTCTGGTTGGGAGTTTGGTTTGGAAGCGCATAGTGAAAGAGTAGACCGTGTGGAAGTAGGAAAAATTATTGGGTGATCATGGAAAGGGAAGTTATTGATTGGTTCAAGCAATGTTACGTGGTACTTTGTGCTTGTTTGGCATAATTGTTAAAATGAATTATACATTATAATTTATAAATTATAATTTTAATCTGAAGTTGTTAATTTGTTTGGTGTAATTGTTGGATTATAGATTTAAATTACGAAGTAGTGTAAATAAACTGTGAATTAACTTTTTCAATTAATTTTTATTTTTTATTATTCACTATTTGTCTACATTCTTCATTAATAATAATAATAATAATAATGTATAATCTATTTGAGTCTTTTTCTATTTAAAAAAATAATAAATAAATAAATAATCTAAGAGTATAACCGTAAATTAACATGTCCATAGCATAAGTTGATAATCAAAAGTAAGGGTTGAGCAGCTTCTCAGAATCAGCTTTTTAAAATCAAAATAAGTTATTATAATCAGAAGCTATTTGAAATAAATTTAACCAAACAGTCTAAAATAACTTTTTCAAAGTTAGAACCTGACTTAAAAAAGCCCAAACAAACACCCCTTTATATTTATTGGGATGTTTAAAATGTTAAGATTTATGATTTTGTATTAAGTGATTAAGAAATATTAGAGATATCAAGATTTGTGATTAGTTTAGAGGGAGTGGGGACACTGCTGTGCAGCCCACGCAGCAGTGTCTGTTGTGCAGAGATTTGGGTCCATTTTGGAGCCCATTTTAATAATCCAAACTATTCACATTTTAGAATACGGTAAATAGAACATGCCTGCAAAATATCAAGTTAATCGAATATCGTTTATCCATTCATCCATACACATTTGTATCTACAAAAATAAATACAAATGTATTTTAATTTGATTAAAATGAATACAAATGTGAGTGGATGAATAGATAAACGATATCTGATTAACTTAATTTTTTTCAAGAATGTTCTACTTGACGCATTGTAAAATGTGAACGGTTCGAATTATCAAAATTGACCCAAATCGCCGCACAGCAGACGCTATTGCGCGGGCTGCGCAGCAGTGTCCCCACTTCCTAATTTAGAACATGATTATATAATGCCTTAAGATTAACCAATAATTTTTTTATAAAACGCTATATATTTATATTTTTCATTAATTATCATATATTATATTTGTTTATATTTTTTAATAACCTTGATGATACAGTTACTACACAACGGGTCCCAAATGGAATGGGTCGGACTAATCCACGCTTCTTCAACCGGTAACTGGGTGTTCAAGCTCACTAGAGAACCTACACACAAGTTCAACAGGGGAACGGGGAGTTCCCCAGCGAACCCTCTGACGAGCAAGTTAGAGAGAGAGATGTAATGTAGAGATATTAATTGGAGATAGAAAACTTAACCTTCTTCTTGTCTTCAACGTTTGCTTATATTCTTTGGTCATCATTTCACTATCCCTTTCGACCTGCCATCTTGGTCGAAAGTCTATACTATAGCTTACCTTATTCAGGGTAAGAGGGTGCTGTTCTGATGGAGAGGTGTTGTCGTAATAAATGCTGTGATGGGCTACATTAATGGTGATATACAGTGGCAATAACTTTACAGATCTTTGTCTACTGATGTGGCTTGTCCTTTACCTGCTGCTGTATGTCTGAATGTCATAGACTCTTTATGTCACGTTAGATTCCAGCTGTTCTAGACTTTACCAACTAGGTTATGTATTGAGCTCCAAATAATTGACTTGAATTATTCATAGTGAGTTATGACTTTTATGGACTTACCACGTCAAACCTAATATAAAAGTATGACTTTCATATTTTTTATCCATCCTAGCATTCTTGAAATATTTTTTAAATATTACGTTGCCGTATTTAAGACGCACCACTAATTACGCGCGGAAGTAGTGATCGAGTAGTTTACGAATTTACGACGAAACCGAGAATTGGGAAAAAGTATCGAAATCGAAATGGACTGTGCCAATGAGAACGAGACATTTTTTTTCCTTCTTGCAAGGGTTTTGTATTTCTGAATCCCCATGTTAATACGAAAATTATTAGGTGTCACCTCGCTATTACGGCCTCGGCTGAAAATAAGTTATTTTAATAATTTTTTATAAAAAAAATATTTTTTAAAAAATAATATAATAATTTATAATAATTTTTTAATTAAAATATATAATTATCAAATAAGATCTACGTGTCATTGATTCTAACCAATTATTAAAACTAAAGTGAATTGATTATGTTTATGTTGTATAGATTGATTATAACTAACCAATTATTAAAACTAATGTGAATTGATTATGCTTATGTTGTATAAATTTATGTGTTCATGATGCAAGCACTTTATATGTGTACCTTAGAGTTGTATCATAAAATATTTCATTTATAGTATAATTATTTTTTTATTATCCAATTGATTTACAATTTTTTAAAATTAGATTTGATCTATAATATAATTATTTTTCATTATCTAACTAATTTGTAATTTTTCCAGTTATTAATCATCATGCTCTCTTGTTATTTCTCCATATCCAATAAAAATCAATCAGTCAGTTTTTTCACTAATCACATTTATTCACAAAATTATTTTTATTTTTATTTTTTACGTTTTAAGTGCATTTAAAATTTTTGATTAAAATAAAAAAAAAATTATTTTAAAAACTCAAAAACTATATTTTAACTTAAAAATCAAATAATATTTTTAGTTGAGTAGATAGAGTGATATGAGTGATAATTCAAGGGAATAAACTTCAATTTACCCTATAGTTGAAGGGAAAAATTCAATTCAATGTATACTTTTAAAAAAATTATAAATAACTGATAAACTTTATATATATTAATAATTAAAGTTATCCTGGTCTAAAATAAATAATTAAAGTTAGATTTTTCTTGAATTACTAATAATTTTCTAGTAGTACTGTATGAAGTAATTTTCCCATAATTGAAAGAGTATTTTTATTATTAAGGTTCAAATTGAAAAAAAAAAAATTAATAGGCAAGGAGGATAAGCGTTACAATTTTTAGTTTAAAGGGATAAAATGGTAGGGTTATTTACATAGACACTTCCTAAACTATTAAAAGTATTTTTTTTGACTCTTTAAACTATAAAAACGTACAAATAGACCGCATAAACTATTGAGAAGTATTACTTTATTCCCTAAACTATAAAAAGTATACAAATAGACCATCTAAACTATTAGTATGTTTCACTTTGACCCCTTTTGTTAAAGGGTCCAATTAGTACACTTTTATAATTTAGCGGGTTTATTTGTATGGTTTTATAGTTTACGGGACAAAGTAATATTTCTCAATAGTTTAAGGGGTCAATTTGTACACTTTTATAGTTTATAAGTTAAAGTGATACTTCTCAATAGTTTAGGGGGTCTTCGTGCAAATAATCCAAAATAATATGAGACAATAGTTAAATGGATAAAATGTAATTTATCCTTATTTTTTTAAACATATATTTAAGGGAATTTTTATTTTATTTTTTTATTTTATTTGAATCGGTAAAAATTAGTAATTAATTGTTAAATTAACAAATTAGGGGAGTTGAATTTTTGCCTCCTCCTTGCAAGTACTCAAGTTTTGGTCCTATTTTACTTCAAGTTTTTCGTACATACCACAAACAGTATTTTGACATAAATTTTTAAATAAAAATCAAATATTGAGATTTAAAATTATGAATAAAAATAAGTTGTGCAAATATATATTCCGTTCAATTATTTATATGCGAACAATTATTTTATGAATAAAAATAAGCTGTGTAAATATATATTTCACTCAATTATTTGTATGCAAACAATTATTTTATATTCATAAATTTATATCTAAATATTTATTTTTATTTAAAAATTTATATTCCAACACTATTTATGATGTGCACGAGAGTTTTATGACGTGCTAGTACAATTTTCATATATTTAAAGTAGTAAAACACCAAAAAGTACTCATTCTTTTGTCTCATTAATTGTCATGATAGAGACGACAATGGTTGAAGGTGGTAGCTACGATGGTCGAAGGAGAGCTATCGAGGGCAATAGCAATCAAACAATTTAACAATTAAAATTTAAATCGAACTCAAATAACCTTTTATAATCATAATGTCGTGATCATAATGATTAAACAAACGAAAGGGTTTCATTTGTTGCTTTCAGCTTTAAATATTTGTACTATATAAACATTGATGTATCTGTATGATTCTGTTGATGATAATCTCAAATACATTTTCCTTTCAAACTTTTCAATAATAAATTTTTCACAATTTATTTAACTTATCATATATATATTTTTTGGATATGGCTTCTGTCTAGTCTGATCCGGACTGGACCGTGCTGTTGGGCCCGTGGGAGCCCACCATTGATTCCGTTTTAATAATCTGAACCGTTCAATGTGTAGAACTCGTCGAGTACTATATATTTATAAAAAATCACGTTGATTGGATATCGATAGCTATGTGATCAAAACAGTTTTTTGTCAACCGTTAATTTGTTCACCGTCCAATTTTTTTAATATGAAACTAATTTGATTATATAGCTATCGATATCCGATCAACGTGATTTTTTTACAGGTATATAGTACTCAACGAGTTCTACATATTGAACGGTTCAGATTATCAAAACGGGACCCGTGGTGAATGCCCACGGGCCCCACAGCACGGTCCAGTCCAATCCCGGACTGGACAGAAGCCATACCCATTTTTTTTAATAAAAAAACACAACTATAAGTGGAAATTGTAAAACCTAGTGTAATGTTAAAAGCATAAGGGATGAAATAAAGACTTATAGTATTGAATTTGAAATGAACATTACATGGAAGAGCATATCACCACCAGCTTGAATATTTTCTCACCCAAAAAACTATATGCTTTCATTATATAACCAAGTGTTTAATTACATAAAGGGAACTCCATAACACATACGGAACCCGAATCATTATTTGATATCCAATTTTCCAAGCCCTCCCAGAAAACAAAGAATTACAGTCAGAATACAATACAAAAATGTTGATAAAGAATATATATACAATACAACATGGTTACTCTGTATGTATATAAAATCAGAATTTTTGATCAGAAACTTAGATTGGTCTTGTCTTGACAGAAAACAGAAAGCTATACGTACTGATGAGAAAGCCACGGGTGCTCTAGCGCCTCCCTTGCAGTTGGACGCCTCTCGGGATTTATTTCAAGTAAGTCCGTTACGAAATTAATAAATCCAGTATCAGAGACCTGTAGGTGATTCTCCAAGGATGACTCCTCGGGAATTACGTACTCCAATTGGTTTGTTTCCTGAATAAAGATACAGATTCAAAATGAGTAAGAAAGAACTTTCCAACTTTCAAGGAGGACCAAATCTGTAAATTGTAGATTGTCAAGGATTCCTAACCCAATATAATTTTTTTGTCCAACAATTCCCAACCCAATTAGTTATCAAATGCATGATTGATACTAGTCGAGGATGGGTCAATAAGGGGAAGTGCACAAATGTCAGAATGAGAGGGGTTTGTTTCAGTGTAAGGATTTGAAACAAGTGATGAAGCATCCTAAACAGGAGAATTCAAGACTGAATCATGTAGAAAAGAAACATATGATATGAATATACTTTAGATAGTTTGTAGTAATGAGGAATACAATCCATTATGTGAAATGTCATATACCTACTAATTGTGCTGAATGTTGACTAGGGCGTGTCATAACAGAAAAAGGGTTGTATCTTTTCGGATAGTTATGAGTGGTCTAGGTTGGGTACCAAGGCCCTCTGGGAATCACGGTAGGCAATGGAGATGGTGTGAGACCACCAGCCATATCAGTAGAGAGAGAGGGATGACAGTGGAGGATCTTGTTGTACATGGAGGGGAAGACACTAAACTGACATGAGAGGCCGGTAAAAAAAAAGAAGATTATTTTAGTTTAACGAAGTATATAACCATTGACAGAGCAAAACGGGTGAAAAAGGATTCATTTAGTCGACCCCGCTTGATAGAACACAAGGTTTGGTTTGGTTTGGGATAGTGTGGACAGATCAAAAAACACATCATCATTGCAAGACTCTTCCAATGCAACAAAATAAAAAATAACTAGACCTAGGGCTAGAATTACATCTACGTTGTCTATAAATTTCAACATTTTCAACCAGCCAAAAATCTACTACAGAACGAGCTTTGCAGCCTTTCTCATGATGCCAGAGAATATGTAATCATGTCACGTATTCAACCTGAAGAAACAGAGCCCATTTTTTTTCTAAATTTTAATTATATAGAGAGGACAATAAAGTAAGCAAACCTCATTTATTAGATAAAGATCATATTCTTCTGTAAAATACTTGTCTGTCTCCTGCCCCTTCACTAACATCTCCATATCAATTGGACCAAGCATGCCAATCATGCGAGCCAGCAACATCACAAGTGCATCATTTGGAAAAAGCACCTGGTGGGAACATAGATGATTAGAACATACAAATTGAATTGCTCTGAGAGGATCTATTATGCAGATGAGAAGCTAGGTGGAACAAAACATCAGAAACAAAGGTCACAAATTTACATTCAAACTCTTTGGATATATGAAAGTCAACAAATATATATAGCAACTACTAACAATATTCCAAATTCAGTCAAATGAATAGAACAAAGCCAAACTAGGGCTTACTTCGCCAGAGCATAGCTCAGCCAAGATGCAGCCAAGAGACCAAAGGTCAATCTTCTGATCATATGGGAGGCCAAGGATGACTTCGGGAGCCCTGTAGGAACGAGATTGTACATAGAGGCACAAGTTGTCTGTCTCAAAGCAACTGCTTCCAAGATCAATAACCTTTATCTCACATCTCGTGTAACTTTTGATAAGAATATTCTCAGGCTTAAGATCACAGTGGATAACTCCCAAGTGATGCAAGTATTCTAGTGCCTCCAAACATTGCCGGGTTATGTGCTGTGAAAGGCAAATAAATAACACCCATATTAGTGTTTCATGGTAGTTGTTTTAATTTGCAATATATTCTCTAAGCGGCACAAATTGCATTTTCATTCAACAGACACATGACTCACTCAAATAAATATCAAATTCATGATGAACACTACCAAAATTGTACAAACCTGCAGCCTGCTCAATGTAAAATATGGCTCTCCACCAGATTCTCGATTATATTTGTGAAATTCATACAAGTTTGCCCGAAGAAGTTCACAAACAATGAAAAGATGCTCCTGCAAAGTTTTTAATATGGAGAAAATATCATTGGTAATAGTTAAACACTACAGTAACTAAGACAGTGGAAGACAACTACAGAACTTCCAACTAGAAATTTTTTCTTTTTGGATTAAATATGATTTGTGAAACATGACAGTAACTTCTATGTACCAATCCAAAGTCAATAATCGTCATTTACAAAGTCTAAACTCCCACAGTAGGATAACCAAAGAGCTTAAGATTTAGCTTGACTTGTGCAATTTACCAATCTCTTAGCCATAGAAATCATTTTTTTTGTGAGATATCAAATACAATACTATTCCAATTAGGTCATGGTAATGTCGGTAATGAACCCATAGTCGTTGTATACAAATCAGGAATGTTTTTTCAGATTTGTCACTGTATGAATCCATAGATTATAGAACCACATGGCTCACACCACATCAATGTTACCTGAAGTTTCAATAATAACGGAGTAGCAGTGATAAATTGGTACATGCTGTTAATTTGTCAAAACTACAAGTCACATATACCTGATAGTAGAAGTAATCATATAGACGCAAAATGTGGCGTTCATCACCAGGATCATGCTTGTTCACAAACTTTAGAAGTTTGATTTCATCTAAGCTCTGATCAAAGAAGTCCTTATCATTTTTAATGATCTTCAAGCAAACAGCCACTTCCGTGTGCAGATCTTGTGCCTGAACAACTCTGCTGAAAGCAGCTGAACCAAGGTATTCTGTAACATAATATCTGCCAGCTATGATGCTATTAAGAACAATAGGCAGATCCTTGTTCTCTTCGAATCCAGTCCTGTGCATGGCATAACAAATGATTATAAATGTTTGATACAAATCCACTGGCAATACACAAGCTCACAATCTTAATCCAAAGAGAGAAAAACAGAAGACATAGCTGAGATAGCATCTCAGTCAAATTTATATAAGATTTTGATCTTCCCAACTCAAAGAAAGTCAATAGAGTATCAATGCACAAGGTGACAGCATCTCCCATATTGACTCCTACAAATTTTTATTTGCTTGACATCCAATACCAAGATTCAAATGCAACAAAAAGTTAAGCAGAACTAACCGGTTTTTCCTGTGGATAATTCTTAGATTGAATACTTCATGTTCTTCCTCGTTACTGTCATACGTCAGAAGCTGATCTGCAGCAACACCCTCTTCTTCATCAGCAACACCCTCTTGCAGAAGGGAATCTCCGGCCAGTTCTCTTGCATTTCCACCATCATGGTCGTCTTTTCCATTTGGTAGGAAATCTTTCTCAGTAACTGGAATATGCAACTCATTGGCAGCTTTAGACTCTTCGGCCCAGTCATTGGTGGCACTCCTCTTACATTTAAAATCATTTACATCAGCAACTTTCATATTCATAAGACTATGATCCTTAGGATCCCTATCAAAAAATCCTCCTTCCAAACAGCAATCACTAACAGGTGCTGAACCCTTTTTTGCCTTTTCAACAATTCCTTCATATTTGACATTTTCATCCAAATGATGATAATCCGTGACTTGAACCCCAATGATTTCGTCCAAGGAGGAAACATTGAAAGACCAGGGCTTGTCCAAGTAATTACTCTTGTCTACAGTTTGAAATCCTTCTGACATATGAATGAGACCAAGTTGGCTGATTTGCTTCCCCGTCTCCAAAGTCATAACAAACTTGTCCTCACTTGGACAGATAATGGAGTCTGGCCTACCAAAGTGGGGAGGCACAATGTAGTCTTCGTCTTTCTCATTGTACCAGTAGAGGTCATTTTGCATATCAAAATCCTGGTAATCACAAGCAGTACCAAATTGAGATAATCTATCTGAGGAAGCTTGGGAGCTTACCCCGGTCGTAATGTGAAGTCCATATGGATTTGTGAACTCTGCAAAAGTGGAAATATAGTAGTATTCAAAAACCATAATCCCTAACCAAAGCAATTAAAACCAAAATGAATTGCCATAGCATAGCTCAAAAAGTAATTGGTCGAATTAAAAGATGCACAATCTCAAGAACTCTCTGAATGTATAGTATTAAGAAATCGGTGTCGCAATTGTGTGAGCCATGGTTGCAAATGGCTTCAGATTCAAGTATTGAATGGAATAGTGGAAGGAAAAAAAAGACAAAAGAAATGCAAGAATCAAGCAAATCGATCAAAATGCCAAGTTAAAAATCCAACTTAATGATGGTTTTATTCAAATTAATTACAATTATAATGCATTTTGGGAACAACAGAGAGTAGTTCTGGAACACAGTCGATACAATCAAAGACAGACTAGAACGAAAGATATTAAATTTATACACAAAAAATACATAAAAAGACATTTAATTTTAAAAAATAAATAAATGATAAAAGCAAACAAAAATTTGAAATTCATAGATAGCAAATAGAAATGAAGTCTAACAAAAATTCAAAAGGTAGAAATCAATCATACGACGAAGCAATTTATTCAAAAGTAAAGAACTCTGTACCAGAAGAACACAAATCGGTGGTGCAAGAACAGAAGCTGACGAGTTCCTCAGAAGAATCATCTCCTCCGTCCTCCGCCTGGCGGATCGCCGGAGGGGGAGGCGGGAGCATAGGGAATATGAACTTCTCGAAATTGAAGGAGCGGAATTCGGACTTGTCAAGGAGGTCCTCCATGAGAGCCGATTCGGAGTCGGAGAAGCCATTTTTTCTGAGGAAATCTAACACGGATTCGATGCCGGAGACCGACATGCGAGAGAGAATTCAGAAGAAAAGCGAAGGCCGAAGAGTTGAAGAAGAAGAGGAAGAGGAATTCATGGGATTGGGGTGAGGTGGGATGGTCAAAAGTGGAATTTAGTTGAGGAAGAGCCTGTGCTTGCATGCCTGTATAGAGAGAGAGAAAGATAGAGAGAGAAAGAGAGGTGCTTGAGTACTACTGTAAAACTGAAGCCAGGGAAAGAAAGATCTCTCACCACCAACTTCGAAAAGTTAAAGTAGCGGATTAATTGGATTTTTGGTCTTTAAAGTATGGAATTTATAGTATTATTTTGATTTTTAATGTATAAAAAAATATGTTAATTTGATTTATAAGGGATGTGTAAAATCAAGGGACGTGTAAAATCAGAAATAAGTATATAATCGGTAAATCACATATACTTCTTTTTTATGCTGTGTTTGGGAGGATTGGAAATAGAATTATTCGAAGTGTACAATTCGTTCAATCTAAATCAATTCGCATATAAATGAGTGGTTTCACAGACATAATGCAAACGGATGCAGTTTAGAATATGACATAATTGTGGGTGCGCCCGCACTTAAATTTTTACGTACAGACACAGTTTAGAATATGGTATAATTACGGGTGTGCCCGCACTTAGATTTTTTTTTTTTAGATAAAAAAAACCTGGACTGTTGATTTCATTCATCATATCGTATATATTTTTAGTCAACACACTAGACCCTAATTTCATGATACAAAAAGAAATGTTGTACAGAATATTGTTTAAGAACATTGTTTTTTAATGTTTTTGTTTTTGTTTGCTCGGTAAACATTGTAGGAAATTGAATCTACTTCTTTATGGAGGGAAAATTGAATCTGTTAATTAGTTTTGAAATTAAAATCAATTCTATATTATATTGAATCTAGAAATTGAAATTGAATATGGAAATTGAAAAAGTCTAATATGCAAATCGCAACCCACACTGCAGGTAATTGCGGGTTGAATTTTTCTTAAATCGCATACATGCGAGCGGGTTCAAACCGATCCGTAAACCGTTCAAAACCGAATCGCGAATACCCCCAGTGTTTCGTTAAGGAATTTAGAGAGAAATTTGGAAAGAGAAAGGGAAAAGATGTGTGAAACTAGATAAAATATAGGTATATTTTATTTACATTTCACCTATCCTTTTCATTTTCTTTTCTAAATCATTTCTCAAATTCCCCAATCAAACATAGCGTTAAGGTTTGAAAAAAATTCTATAAATATCACAAGTTTATTATAATTAAAATTTTGATCCATAAAACACTTTTTTTCTCCCTCTTAAAACATTCATTAATGATATGAATAGCTTTTTGAAAATCTTTGCCGGACTGCTTAGCTCGGCAAACTTGGTTTGCAAGATTGACCAACCTCTTGGAAACCTTTGCTCGACTAGCTAGCCCGGCAAAGTAGGTTAGCAAGATTGACTAATCTTTTGGAAAAATTTGACCGAACTGGTTAGCTGAGCCAAAGTGGGTTGGCAGGATTGACCAACTTCTTAAAAATCTTTGCAGAGCTGGTTAGTTCGGCCAAGTATGTACTTAAACTTAATTGAAATATCAAAAGACACCAAGCATGCAAAAAGTTGTAATTTTCATTGATGCAAAATTTGGTTACAGAAGAGGGGCAAACAGCCCGATTACAAAAAAGAAAAGCAAAATCAAAAGCAAATCATATCATGGTCAAATCACAAGATCATCCAAATTGGTTGTCGCACCGGTGTCACCCCTAGCCAGCACGACATTAGCACCTTCTTCAACGGTTAGACCGGTGGCACCTTCTTCGGTGGCGATGATCGGATGATCCTGGCTTGCGATTGTTGGCCGAACTAGAGGATCTAGCTGCCACGCTGGGTTAGTAGTTGTCAAGACTAGAATGGTGTTGGCCGCTAAGCTGTCATCCTCAACTACAAACAGTTTTTGTTTTGTAGTGTTAGCATACATCGTCATATAACTTGGGATAAAATGTAAAGGTGGATTTAGGAAGACCTCAGAATCAGTGGCATGGCCGAGCTTTTCTACCGCCACCTTCCAGCCACACTTTAAGAAGATATCCTTCGCAGCCTCGCATTGCTAAACATAAGTTTGCTCGCCCTCTATCTAACCTCAGTCCTAGGCATCCTTTATCTTTTCCTCCAACGCCTTGATCTCGACGTCTTTGGCATCTTTGAGTTTCTTTAGCTCGCGCAAGTACCTATTCTTCTTGCCAACTAGGGCCTTATATTTTTCTTTATTAAATGTGTGAACTTGCTCGGCCAGCTGGTCTTGCTCAGTTCTTATCTCAGCCAGCTGCGCCCTTATCTCTTTTAGTTCGTCATCCTTTGCGTTGTTTTCGGCAATGGCCACTTTGGTAGTCTTCCTCAATTTCAACACACATTGATATGCCACTTGATTTTTCTGCATTGCCTGCAAAACACATTATACATCAAAAAGACCGAGCAAATAGTTGAGAAGAAATGAGAATAATTGAAGATTTATCACTTACCAGGACCAAAGACTTAGTGGCTAACCTGATGGCCTTCAGGTCGGTGAGTTACTCGTGTCTTTCCATGTTGGCAAGAAGGCAGAAACTCATGGCCAGATTGAAAGCCAACTGATGGTCCTTGTTAGCACAGACCGAGTTAGATATGGTCATAGCTCGGTCGTTGTAGGTCACGACCAGTGCCCACACTGGAGGGGAAGAAGGGTTAGCCTGCTCGATTTGTGTAATGACCCAGACATGCATTTGATTAATTAGTCATCTAAATTGCATTATTATGTCCTAATTAATTATGTTTTTGATGAGAAACTGTACGTGAATTAGAAAGATTTGCCTATATATCTGTTGATTGTAGAAAAACATGTTGAACTTACGACTATAAACTGAAAATTAAAGGTCTTAGAGTCGCCAAAAGCCAAAACTGAGTGCATACTTACGATCAACATGATTTTTAGGGCTTAATGAGAAGTTTTGAAAAAAATTGATTTGGAATGAATTAATCGGATTTAATTACATATTATATATATATATGAGCCTTAGTTGAGTCTAAGACTCAACAAATATCTTCTGAGAGAGAGAGAGAGGGGGAGAGTTCTAGAGAACTCAAGAAGGGAAGAGAGGAAGAAGAAGAACAAGAAGGATTTGAAGAGATCTTCTCAAATCATCAACTTTAAGTTTGACTTTCTCCCTAATTTCTTGAATTTGAGTCACTTTCACTCATAACCTTCTAAGATTGAAGCCTTGATTGCATGAACTCATGGTTAATTAGGGAGTTGTTGGTGTTAGTTTTAAATATCAACATGTATGGCATATTTTCCATGAAATTCTTGTTCCTACATATGATCTATTGCATGATTGTTAAAGATTGAGGAGGAAACTCCATGGATTTTCAAGATTTGGAACTCAACATTTGCATGTGTTATGATTTTACCCTTTTGATATTTTATTTGGAACTTTGGTTTTGATTTGACGTTATGAATTTTTGTTTTATGTAAGGTATGTGAAATTGAAGATGTGTTTGAGGGTTTTGGGCCTTAATTTGCTTGGAATTGAAGTTGATTTTGCAAAAGAATGAGTTTCAAATTTTAGCAGATTTTCGAACTAGTTTTACACCCAAACCGATCGAGCGGCTTGGGCCATTGCACGAACGGCTGGGCCTCTTTTGGTCAAAGTTGCATTTTGCTTTCTTGTCGCTAGTGCAGCCAAGGCCACCACACGACCGGCCAGACCACCACATGTGCAACCTGCAAGGTAGTTTTTTTGGTTTCATTTTTCTGACTTTTGGGCCTTCATTTACAAGGTTTTCACGTGTAATACACATTTATATGCATAGCATGAACACAAAGGAAATTAAAGAATAAATAGAAGCAATTTAATGAATAAGTAACAGATGAAATGAATTAGTTTAAGAATCGATTGCATAAATTAAATGTGTTATGAAATGTTATGCTTGGATATGTTTCTGCAGGTTGAGCTGTTGAGGTGTATCATAGACCAAGCACTATGAGTAACATTACTGTAAAGATATTTTCATATGAAATATATTTGATATGTTATGTTTCTGAAACATTATTTTCTTAAGTGAATGAATATCTGATTTTGAATCTACTATGGCATCCAAAGAATGGTCCCAAGTCATGGGAGACAGCATGCTAATGCGGGTCCATGACATATATCGTCTTGCATCTTCTTGTAGGGTGAAGGTTACCAATAAAACCTTTTGTGCCTCAGTGCATGGGAAAACCTCAAACAATTTCTCAATTTCCAATACCCGAGCCTCGGCTTTCAAAGGTTCAATGCCGCTCTAGAAGGTTGGCAGCTTCATTTTGTTGAACTTCTGCGGAAAAACAATGATATCATCATTATTTAGCTCTATCTGGACTAGAGGCAGTAGAGGAGATACAGGTTGTTGTCTTTGCTCTTGTTGTTATCTCACCAGTTTAGTTAAAACTTCCACCATTCTTTCTAACCGATCTATTCTAACATTAGAAAAGGATTGTCAGTAATGTAACAAAGAAATCTTTATTCACGCTTAGCTTCGAAAAACCAAGGTCATAATTAGTAGTCCTTAACAAAGTCGGTTCGAGATTATAGCAAATAAGTTCTCAATATTACTCGCAACTCTAAGCAACTCTTATCAGTCAGTCAGTCTATTGAATAGCTCAAAATTAAATATTCATTCAATTTGTTATTCTGTATAATCAATTGGTAGCAGATGTCATAGCAAAGGTTTCATGAACAAAATTTTTGAATCTACTATGGCGTCCAAAAATGGTCCCAAGTCATGGGGGACAGCATGTTAATGTGGGTCCATGATATATATGTGATTACGAGATCTCGTTAGCCACTTGACAAAGTGGTGATATGCTTAATCCGTATCCAGAACCGATTACTCTAGTCAGAAGACGTTATGGTATATTCTATGGGATATACCATTATTATGTTCAGATATGAGACTGATTTGTTGTGATTTGTTTTATGTATATGACAACCTATAAAGGCGGGTTTGGGTCGTGACAGTTTGGCTTCCTTCCAGGAGTGTTTCTAAGTCGAATTGCTCGGTAGCTCGGTTTCTTCTTCGTTCACCAGTCGTTGCTCAGTGGGTACAGTTTGGGCCCTTTTGTTGGGCTGAAATGAAAAAGCCCTAGCTGTGGGCAGGGTAATGATTGCCTCTCTCCTTTGCTCGGCCGGAGGTAGCTTGGTCTGAGTATCGGTAGGCACTGTAGAGGGCTCGATGATGAGG